AAGAATGAAGAATTCTTCTAAATATCTTCTTACTCAACATAGGGAAGCTGGTTTTAGTGATGGTTAATGCTTGTACTATAGAGTTTATTAAATATTTTTAATATCGATATTGGTTAAAAAGAGTATAAATCTTTTATAAATATTTATATAATATAGTAGGTACGCTATAATAGGTACTTGATAATTGGTAGCTACTAATATTGTTTATTGGAAATCCAATGAACTTGGATTCCGGAAAAACAAAAACTTACTTACCTAAGTTTCTTAAAATAAGGAAGGATATGAGAGGTATGTAGCCACAGCACTCTGAGAGGGGATCATGGAGAATCAACATTTGAGACTGTATTTAACACACTAGTTTGCCTATTTCATATATTGACTCTATTACACAGCATCGAACACCCTTGCTCAAAACCATGGACATATGGCATTAAGTCTTACACTGAACAGTCTAGGGCATGGAGTCAATGTGGTTTAAAAGCACTGGTGAAGATGAAGTCTGGACTGCTATTCAAAATAAAATTTTGACATAAGTGAAGCTCAAAAATGACGTAGATGATAGAGTCTTTGTACATCCCCTCTTGCGACCAAATTAAAGTTGTGAGGGAAACATGGAACCAACAGCAAGCAGAATTGCCTGGGATCTAGTCACCCTACAACTGGGAAGAGAAATAAGAAATGGCCCTGCAGTGGTAGGAGGTAGGAGGGGGTAAAGACATAGGGCTGTCCAGTCCCAATGGCTGAGTGGGACAGAGGCTATGGCAGCAAGCCAGAAGCTGCAGACATTCCTCTTAAAGGGGCCATATCCACGACAGAACTTTCACAATGAAGGACTCACTCTGAGCGCAAGTGTTGGGTCAGCTAAATGCGGGGCATCAGGGACTTACAGGGGTACACTGAATTGTTGGAGCGAGGACTGGTGGCAAGGTTTTCTCCAGGGCATAAATGCTGGCAGTATCCATTGTTCCTCTGTTGAACCCTCCCCACTCCCAGTGCATAGATTCAGCTGCTGCCGTAGCAGAGACGTCATCAAAGTGGATAACAGAGGTCACTCTGCTCAGAGGATTCCCTGAAACTCCACCTCCTCCAACTCACAGCCATACCCAAGCCACATTCAGTTGTATCCTTCATGACTCCTTTGCTCCTTGCTGAGCAGCTCCAAGACTCACTCTGGTGGCAGCTGACCTCGGTTTCTGGCATGGCCTCTTGAGGCAACTATAAGCATAGCATCTGTGGATTGCTTGTTGAACATTAACAGGTGGCCCCAGAGGGATACAGGTTTGGGCTAAACTTGGCCTGCAGCTGAACCTCTCTCAGGACTGTGCCACTGGACACCTACTACACAAAGTCATGCTAAAGACCAAGAGACTTAGGAGCTTTGCTTAGTACATAGAAACAGACACAGAAAGGCAGCCAAAATGAGAAGACAAAGAAGCAGAAACCATATGAGAGAACAGAACAGAGATCCAGGAAAAATGGAGTAGAGCAATCTAACAGATGCAGAGTTCAAAACACTGGTTATAAAAATGTTCAATGAACTTAGGGAGTGAGAACTTTAACAAAGAGATTAAAAAAACATAAAAATAGAAATGGAAATTATAAAAGGGAAGCAATCAGAAATGAAGAACACATTATGTGAGATGAAGAGTATGTGAGAGGGAATCAACAGAGTGGATGAAGAAAAGGATCAAACCAGAGGATGGGGAAGTCAAGGACACTTAATCAGAACAGCAAGAAAAAAGAAGCCAAGACTATAGTAATAATTTAAGGAGCCTATGGGACACAATTAAATGTAAAAACATCTGTGTCATTGGGGTACCTGAAGGAAAACAAAATGTTGAAGAGCTATTTGAAGAAATAATGATAGAAAACTTCTCTCACCTGGTGAAGGATATAGACATATAACCCCAGAAAGCTTAGAGTCCCAAAAAAGATGAACTCGAAGAAGCCCATATCAAGACACATTATAATTAAAATGCCAAAGGTTAAATACAAAGAGAGAATCTTAACAGCAGCAAAAGAAAAGCAGTTAGTTACCTACAAGGGAGCACTCATAAGACTGGCTGCCGATTTCTCAAAAGAAACTATGCAGGACAGAAGGGTTTGGCATAAAATAGTCAATGTGATGAAAACCCAGGATCTACAATCAAAAATACTTTATCCAGCAAAGCTATAATTTAGAGTTGAAGGACAGATAAAGAGCTTCCCAGATAAAAACAAGCTAAAGGAATTTATGTACACCAAGGAAATGTTGAAGGGATTTCTTTAAGAAGAAAAATCATGTATCAAAAACAGGAATAAAGAATGGTAATAACTACATACATATCAACAAGTACTTCAAATGGAAAAAAATTAAGTGCTCCAACCAAAAGATAGGGTGGCTGAATGGATAAGAAAACAAGACCCTTACATATGCTGCCTACAAGAGACTCACTTCAGATTAAAAGACACACAGACTAAAAGGAAGGGGATGGAAAAAGATATTGCCTTGATAGACCTAGAGGGTATTGTGTTGAATGAAGTAAGTCAGATATAGAAAGTAAATACCACATGATTTCACGTACCTGTGGAATCTAAAGAACAAAATAAACAACAACAAAAACAGAAACTCATTGATACAGAGAATATTTTGATGGTTACTAGATGTAAGGGGAGTTGGGGGGATAGTGAAAAAGGACAAAGGGAAAAGAAGTACAAATGAATAGTTACAAAATAGACATGGAGATATAAAGTGTAGCATAGGGAAAATAGTTAACAAGCTATAATAAGTATGTAAGGGAGAAGAGGGGTACTAGATTTAGTGGGGTGATCACTTTGTGAGTTATATAGATCTCTAAGCACTATGCTGTACAACCGAAACTAATATATTATTGTATGCCAACTATAATTGAAAAAAAATTCATTGAATTGTATAATGTAGATATGAGCAACTAATTGTCAATTATATTTCAATAAAGCTGGAAAAAAATTTTGACAAAACTGTTCCTAACTGGAGCAATTTCTAAACAAATATCTAAATCAATATGTTTTTTGACACCCTGGCATCGTCCATGTCCTTTTTAAAACCAATTCTCCTCTTAATTATAACAGTAGTTAAAAATTCAACTGTATTTTTCTCTTCTTTTGTTATTTAAATAATCTTAAAACTCAGCTGGATGGACAGACCATAATCTGACCGCAGATGGAAACGCCTCATCTGCACTGAGTTATCGAGATCACCAGTGAATCTAGGAGTGAGAGTTTAGAAGAAAAACCCTGACACTGGAGCATGGAGCCTCAGCACTTTCCATTCTGAAGTCTGGGCAACCAGCAGCACTTCTAGGGGGGACTCAATCTAGTGGAACACATCTCTTGTTTTTCCTTTAGAACTTAGCCCAACTCTATATCTTTAAATGGAAAATAAAATTATTTTTCTTGGTTGACCTCACAGATTACAAGGACTTTGTCAGCTTACAATCCACCCCTCTCCCGACTTTTTTTTACTTTTTACACCTACAGCACCTGGTCTTCCTAGGTGGTCTCCCATCCAAGTACTAACCAGACCCGTTCCTGCTTAGCTTTCAAGATCAGATGGGATTGGGCTTGTTCAGGGTGGCATGGCCATAGACTGAAATCATTTTTCTTGAGTCATTCTTAATTTGTATTTTCCATCAATACCTTTCCCTATTATTCATTTTTCTACTCTATTAATAAACTTTGGATTTGAAAGATGACCTATTCTTTTCCCAGTAAAATGATCTAGAGCACCAACAACGAGAAATATGTTTTATTTCTCTAGTTATCTTTTCTAGGCAGTGCAATTTTGGGGAATAGGGAGACTGGTTTTCCTCTTTGTACAGATTCCATGAAGGCTGTAGTAAATGGCACCCTGACTGAAATTTTTGGGAGACATTTTAACTGAATTTCATAAATAAACTTTTCACTCTCCATAAATATTTTGAATTAAATTTTCCTTTGTATAACTCTTCGCTTTCACAAGAGTGTTACACTATCCAATTCAACATGGTGAATATAGGGCTCATCTCAGTTTGCGATATAGTGTGGTATAGGGCTGCTTGGAGCATGGCAGGAGCAGGTTTCCAGGCAAACAGATAGGTCTCCACTCTTGCAAAAATACATTCTCAATGTCCAACTTATTAAAAGAGCAAGCACCAGACTTGAGTTTGAGCAATGGTTGTACATGTAGGAACCCTTATATATTTGTAAAATGGGATTTCAATCCTTCATCGAGCCTTAACCAACCTACAAAACTAATATTGTAAGAAATAAATACGTAGACACGACCAACAAAGTTATTATCCTTCTGTTTATCACCTGCAGGTTCATCTCTAACTGAAAGCACATCTCCAGCAATCATATGTAGAACATCACATTAGTAGTTTTGATTATCTGAGAATTCTACAACCTATCTACCATGAATAGGAGAGTATCAGAAAGCATCAATGCATCCTTTGTAGATAAGCAATTCTGTAGCTAATACCATAGTTTTCTCTAGATCATAAGATCAGGTCTTTGGATATCTTCCTTACTGAACAAACTGTACACCTAAAAAGGAGGATTTTATTGTATGTGAATTATATCTCAATAAATCTGATTTTTTAAAATTAAAAAGTAGTCATGGGGATGTAGAGTACAGCACAGAAAATATATAGTCTATAATATTGTAATAACTATATATGGTGTTAGGTGAATACTAGATTTATCAGGGTGATCACTTAATAAGGTATATAAATGTCTAATCACTATGTTGCACACCTGAAACTAATTATTGTCAACTGTAATTGAAAAATAAATTAAAAAATAAAAATAAATATATTTTTATAAGAAGAAAATTAAAGAGAGTGGAGTTTCACTGTCAAAGTAACAGGTTGTTTGAACCTGGGGAGCCATGACAAGTATAGAAGTTATGTGGCCCAAGTGAAGCATGAATGAGAAGGGAGAAATGAGCATGGCTTGTGGCAGGAGTGGCAGGTGGGAGGTGGGATGGAGGTGGTACTCACCACTGCCTCTTCCACTGGCTCCTCAGCCTGGGTGTCCAGTCCAGGGTCCAGCACAACAGCAGATGTTGCAGCGGCAGGAGGCTCCTCTGTTTTTGGCTCAGTGGTTGGAGCCTGTTCAGATTCAGCCTTTGATTATTTGTTTTGAAGGTTAGAGAAAAAAGATTCAACATATGAATACATAGCATTACAGAACACCAGACAATTAAGATTTTGCTCATCATCCTACAGGCAAGCAGCTTCATTAAGACTGTCCTGGAAAAAAGTTTTATACATTTGGCATCATGGGCCTTTACAGAACTGGAAAGTCTAGAAATGGACTCTATAAACTTCTCTTTTAGCATCCTCGAGGACTGTCATTTCCCTTGAAATTAGGCCAAGACTTACCATTTTGGCTATTCATATTCATTATCTGCAACATTTTGACTATTCACTTCCTTATGACATCTATAAGAGATGCTGAAATTCAGGCACTTAATGTTATTTAATGAGAAGGGAGGGGGGTGGTCCTAGAAGCTCCCACTATTGCCAGCTGGAAGGAGTAAGAGCATAGTTCTGAGAACTCCCAGCTCTTTTGATATATATTGCACCAAATAATTGAGGGGTCATTCCAAAATTCAGATCAAAATACATTAATTTGCACAAGGAAGTATTCTCCATGGTACCAATTAGACCCTTCTAATCACATGGACAACAGTGAGATATTTTCATCCCATTGTGACTTCTATGCATAGATATCACTCTGATTCCAATTATATGCTGAATCAAGCCCCTGGAATCTCTTAGCTCTAGACTTTTTTTAGTTTTAAAATTAGCAATATTAAATAATAACACATCATTAAAAACACCATTGCCAATGGATATTACCACCACTACTGAAAAATGTTCCCTCTTTTTCGATTTTGATTAATATAAATAAGCATATTTATTTCACTATTTCACTAAATGGGCAGCTTTTAGAGGGCACGTTAAGATCCTTTTCCATCAGAACATTTACTTAAAAGAGTTTAAAAGTGTTTTCTTAGTAGAGTAAGAAATCACTAATAGATACTTTGTAGAAATCAGTAACTTCTGTCAGAATCTCACCATAAGCAATTAAAAGCCACCTCTAGCTCTGTGTGTCCACCTAAGCTGATGTACATGACAAGTTCCATACGGAAGTGATGGAGAAGTTATGCTGCAATTATAGAAAATGAATAATAAATAGTCTAGCATTGGTTAAATGTACAAAATATTTTTTTGTCACTTAAACAAACCCCCCATTATGACACACACAGCCTTCTCTTCAAAAGGCAGAATAAAATGGAAGGACATCTTAGTAGATGCATGTGCAGATATTTGATGTTTATATGGGATTGTATAACCTTTAAGAGATGCTCTGACACAATTTTTTAAAAAGAATAAAATAAAATTCACTCTAATATACTCTCAGGAGTTCTTTGTGGGAAAAGATTTCACTTTTATTGTTCGAAAGAATTATCTTTGTAATGAAACAAGTTTTCATAGCAGCAAACAGATTCTATAAGCTCTCAGGGTAAGATCTTACCATTTTGGAAATCAAAGTGATTTTCTATGACAGTATGGTATTAAATGATCTACACAAGAATGACCTACACAAGAAGGACAGGTAGGGTAATATGACAAAGCACCAAGAAATCCATATGCAGATGGCTGTCCCTCTCTGGGCTGAGTCCATGAGATGAAGAAAGTCTGAAGCCAGATGAAGAGCCAAGAGATTTCATACGAAAAGTCAAATATATATATATATCATTGTACATTTTTTTTTAGAAATGTAAAGATAGCTTAAAATGAAAAAAAAAACAAAACTATTTGCATCAGAGTCTGAGTTTCTTCGAAGTCTGAAGAAATTTTGAGTTTTATATGAGGCAAGAATAAGTAGGGTGATTTCACAAATGAGTTGAATGCATTTAGACAATGCAACAGAGGCATAGTATGAAGAGGAGGTAGGATCAGTTATATCACCATAAGTCACAACACAGCACGGCAACTTAACAACTTAAATTCCAGGGGATTAAAATGACTCACTGAATGATGAGTAAGGATGAAACACAACAGCATGACTGTACATAAAATCAGCTACTCAAATTTGGAAATAGAAGTTCCCTTTCTAGTCACTCGAAGATAATGTAAAATTGTAATTATTTTGTCAAGGTAGAAAGAAAAACAAGAGTAAATTGTGGATGAAATCCCATGGAAAGATCTAAAATAGTCCTGTTGGAATTGTATCCTGCTTCAATCACTTTTTTTACTATAAGATGTCTCCCTTGACAGACATTGCAAATGGGTTGATACTTTGCCATTCCCACTGAGGAGCACTGGTAATGATTTCTTATTGTTTGCTTGAGTAGTGATCATTATTGGTGGCAGCAGGATGCCACAACAATGATTTAACTCAGAAACTCAGAAATGGAATTTTCACGTTAGGACAAAACGAGTAATGTAAACTTGGCCCACATTGTTCCGGTATCTTCTGTGATAAGATGGAAGGAAGGTCAAACAGAGGAAGAGATGGAGAAAGAAAGTGGGGTTAAGAGTCTAGTCATATTCCAATATGGCATCTGCTGTATAGTCCTGCTTCTCCGATTTTGGGAGAGCTAATTTGGTGAGAAGTGCAAAAGGCCGTGGAAGCAACTCTGACCCCTGAGCAAGACTGGCAGATTCGAAGGGTTTATACCTGAACTCCAGGAATGTGCTAAAGGGCTATAACATGCAGTCTGGGAAGGTATGCCATTGACTACCAACTTCAACCTCTACCTCACTCAGTACAGTCAATGACCAAATGTTGGGAAACTGTCCTGATCCTGGGAAGATCTTGTATAATCACTGTGATTTCCTAGTTCTCCACATGGAGAGCCAATGCCAAAGCTAATGCAATGCTGGGCATAGTGAAGCTAAGTTCTTCAGTGGAAAGGAGGTGTCTGTTTCAGCAACTACATAACAAGAGAAAAGAAGGATAGGCAATGTAAGCCCCTAGAACCAGCTGTGGGGGTTAGTGATGTTCAGAGAAACTTAAAAACACTGGATTCTATGCCTGGACTTTTACATCAGAGTAATTGGTTTGAGTTTAATTATGACCCATTGTCTTTCCTTTATACCAGAATTTCTCCATTTTTCTTAACCCATTCACAACTGACTATCATCCTCCAGCATCGTTACAATGCTTAATCCATCATCACCGAGGCTGAGACTCACCAATGAATGTGAAACATGAGTCTCTCTGGCTCCATTATTAACACCAATATAATTTGTATTTGAAACATTTGAAATCTTTATTCAAAGTCCACAGACTCCACATTTCACTTGGTTACCCAAAAGGCAAAAGTATGACAATCTATGACAAGGTATTAGAGATACACTTGCCTGTGAAAAATATCAAATTAACCTTTAATACAAACTTCCCAGAACAGAATTCCTTACTTAGAAGTGTAATCATCTAAAAGGAAAAATTCATTCTACTTAAACTCAATTCCAAGCTTTCAACGTGAAAGCCAGGAACTGGGATAATTGTACACCATTCTCATGGGAAAACCGGTGAGCTATGAATAACCCTTGTATACTAATCCTTAAAGAGCCAAAATCCTCTATAGTATATCACTGACAAGCTCACAAGTATCATCACTCAAGGTGTCTTCATTCAATTTCACTGGTAAGCTCCTACTAGAAAGGTTTCCCATGAAAATTGTAACATCCATCTTGTAGGAATCTCTTCTACCATCAAGAGTAACTCTGCTTTCTCCCGACTCTTTAGTTAAGCTTTTCTCTCATCTTGTGTTTCTTTAAAGTAGGAATCACATCTCTACTATGCATTATTTTTTTTCTATAACTCACAAAAAGAAGGAAAGAAATGAGAAATGAAGCAGCTTCAAGTTCAAGAAGAAGCAAGGATCTATTTTGAAAGATGAATTCTTGAGGCAATTTCATTTTCAGTTCTGTAGCTTAACTTATAGTCACATGAAAACATCCGTGTCCTTGATGAATTTATTGTGTTCTACTGAAGCACATAATTATGAGACTTTTGCTAGGATCACTGTGCCTTTATAAATTAGAAGCAACCACATTCAAAGACACACTCTAAGATTTTTTAGAAGATTTCCTTCCTGTTTTCTAGAAAAGAAGGAGCTTCAGAAACCACATTCTGAATATTCAAGCTCTAGATAACCTAGAATCATCAATCTTAGAACATTCAGCAGTAACTATCAACTTCTCAAAAATACAAATCAAAATCAACTTACCAAGTTACAGATCATATTCTGGTCTGTCTGCATCGTGAATAATGAAGTATCCTGGGGCTGAAAATTGGGGAGAAAACAGAAGATTTAAAAGTAGTAAGTTTCTAGTTAATTTGCTAAAAAAGCAACAACAAAGGTATTTAAATTAGCTCCCAACAATTATGTCAATAAACAAATTATAAAGTTTTTGAAAGTCTCCTTGTATTATAATCAAAAAAGCAAAAAATACAAAAGTAATTTTTAACAGTAGTGATTCTAAATATAAATCTGAGCTAGGAGAAAATGAGGATCTGACGAGAGAGACATTAAGTAAAGGGCCGTGTCTTCTGGGGTATCTTTGGTCTGCAGCTTCTTTTCTGAACATCTACATTGAATTAGAATTTAGTTGCTCTAAGCTACAGATTTAAACTTTTTAAGTGTTGGAAACTCAATCTTACTATCTCACCTAAGTGTAACTTCTACAGGTTAATTATGAGCCATAACTTTAAAAATTTTATACAATATATTCATTGACCTAACGACCTAAAATCAAGCTGGTATAATCTAAGGAAACAGTGATCTCTAAAGGAATAGTCATCTCTCATTATATTGTTAGCCAGGAAAGACCTAAAGAGTCTTTCCTAGGAAATATAACCAGTTTAAAAAAAAAAAAAAAAAACCTAAAAATTTGACATCAAAGGCTCTCCAACAGAAAAGATAAGCCAATAATGTTTGGTTAAAGTTGGTGGATTGAACATAGGCAATTACCTCTGTTACCTCCAGAATTCAAACTAAAGAACAATAAAGGGAATTTTACAAAGAAAAAATTTTAAGGCATAGAACCATAAGCATAATAATAATGGGGAGAAAAATAAGAGCAACAAAATTTTGAAATCAAAAAGCAGACAAATGAACAATAAGTAACTTGGTGGAAACAAAAATATCTGTATCCTAAGATATTTTTAGTAGGTGTAAGAAATGCTAAAAGGCAACCAAATTTGTTACTCAGAAACAGTGGGAACTATGGGAAATGGAAGTTAGGGTGGTTTTAAAGACAGGAGAAGTGGTTGAAAAGTCTATTGTAGAAGCAATTAGACCATGAGATACTCTCATCTACATGAAAACCAAGCAATATGCCTTTCTGCTCCAGCACAAGACTTGAAGTTATTTTCATAGAGGCTGAAATAGAAGGTCTGGAGGATACCCGGGCATATTAGGAAAGTAGCTGGATTAAGTGAGCATTTACCTAACAAATATTGAGAACATGGTCCCCTCTCTCCCCCATCCCTAACTTCTTCCTCATTAACCTGTCATTACACTGGCAGCCAGGCTTGTACAGGGGACCAGAAGAGTCTCCCCAGAGAAATTTGATCAGCTCAAGAAAAAAATGCCTAACGAATCTGACATCAGGGGCTCCTCAACAGGAAAAATAAGCCGGAAAATTCTAGAACAATGCCCACAGTTAATGAGCTCTACTTACCTCTACATGTTTCCTGCCAGCTTTTTAGTCTCCTACTCTTAGTATGAGTAGACAGCCAAGATCACCAGACATGTAAGAAAAGTCTCAAATATCAAAAGGAGAAAATAAATAGCAAAAAACCCCAAAACAGACAAAAAAAAAAAAAAAGACTTTCAGGGGAAAAAAATTCTTCAAAAATTATGATTATAATCCCCTCAGAGATACAATGGCTTATCCATGACATAAGAGGATGCTGTTAAAAACAAATATTCAGTAAACAAAAAGAGCTTTTGAAAATGAAAAATATATAAAAGTCTGTTAGAAGAGTTGGAAAGCAGAGAACGATGACAAAGTAAAGGAAATAGCAAAGAAAAATCATTAGAAGACTAGCTCAGGAAGCCAACATATGAAAAAGAGAAGTGTGACAGGATAAGAGAACAAAGAAAACAAAAGAAAAAACATTGATAAATAAAAAATATCCCCCAAACTTAAAAACATAAATTTTTAGATTAAAAGGGCCTAGGACAATGTATGAAAATAAACTCAGATCGTCGTGCACCTCTGTAAAATTTCAGAAACTCTGGGGGAAAAAAAATTCTACAAACTTCCAGAGAGAAACAGAAAAAAAGAGTGGAAGGGGTATATAAGAGGGAGGGAGGGAGGGAGAGAGAGAGGAAGCGGGTGGAGGAAGGAGGAGAGAGAGAAAGAGAAAGAAAGAGAGACAGACAGAAGGAAGGAGAATATTTTTTCACAAAATATCAAGAATCAAAAGGACAGATTCTCAGTAGCAACACTAGAAGGTAGAATTGAGTGGAGCAATGGCTTCGAAATTCTAAGGGAAACAATTTACAACTTCTAATATAATATCCAAACAAGCAGTCCATATGTACATAGATAAAGACATTTTCAGATGTATAACATGCACACTTTTCTCAGGAAGCTATGGAAGGATGTGCTTTATATTTGTGGATGAAGACATATTTTGATTTGTGAAATTAAAACTTAAATGAGGAAGATTTATGTCCAGAGAAGAGTGGATTGACATAAGAGAGAAGTGAAGGAAATCCCCAGGCAGACGTAACAGGAGAACCTGTGGAATCAGCTGTGCCATAGACACAGAGTCCTCAGTTTAGACTGGAGCAGTCCAGAAGGCAGACAGTCAAGTTCTTCAAGAAGAGAAAACTGTTTGAATATTTGTTTTCCAACAAAATGAGAGGAGATTTATCTAACTACAGAGTATGGGGAAATCAGAGTAGAAAACTAAGCAAACCAACCAACAAAAAGACACTACAATTACTTCCTCAAAGGAAAACAAAAAGTTGGCATAAAAGGAAATATAAACTTCATGAATTGGGGACTAATAGCATTTATATCATTATTCCTACAGACTGTCGATGGCGAAACTATATCAGAGCAAGGTGGACTGCAAAGGTAGGAGGTTGAAAGTGCTTTATGTCCTCACTTTCCTGAGAGATGAGTCAATAGATAACGCTTTAGATATCAAAAAATAGCATTATAAGAAAGTCATGCACACGTGGGTGGGTGAAACCAGAGAATCTGTTAAAGGAAGTGTAAATATTTACCTCTAAGAAACAGGAAATGGAAGGGGTATGTGATAGTCTAAAGTTTTTAAACAAAAAACATCTTATAAAATTTTGTACTTTTTAAATTTTGCACATTTATAACTGATAAAAATACAAAATTTAAAAATGAGAAATGAAAAACAATTCTTATGACCCAAACTTTCAAGATTTTTATGTAGTTGTCTTCGAAGAGATAAACTGTCATCTCTCTTTGTGTTTGCGTGTATCTGTATTTAGGTGTGGGTTTGTGTGTGGGTTTTTCCCATGTTACCTATTTTCATAGGTAACATGGGAAAAGTAATCAAACTTTTCAATCAAGAAATTCTAAATGTTAAAATTTGAAAATTTTCATGTCTAATATTCTAAAACAAAGCATTCATCACAGACGAGCTTCTATTTGAAGTCTCCTTTTAAGAAGTTTTCAGAACTTATTCCACGAGCTTGATAGACATGTGGTTCGCCTTTACATGGGTTACAACTGTCCACTTGTTGGGACATATACAGTGAATGGGATAGTCCATCTTGTGGCTCCTCTTCCACTGACTGACTTGTAAGGAAAATACTGCCTTTAGGCCAGAGCCAACCCGTGATTTCTGATCTTCCAATGGTTCCTTTTTGGAGGACCACTGAAGAGGGAAGTTTCTGTGTTGTATGACTCTTAACATGAATCTTTAGAAAAATGCTCCTGAAACATCTCATATTTTCTAAAGACTAATTTCATTAGTTCAAAACAATCCTGTTTCCTCTTTTCCAACAAGCTGAATCTAGTGGATCTCTAAGATCAGAGCAACTTCTAGATTCAGGAGAGGAATCAGCAGAAGGAAGAAATCTGTGGTATAACTAATAACATTAACAACAGCTAACTACACCATGGAGGACTTAGTATGTGCTGTTGGGCATATCTCATTTAATATTCACAACATTCTACAATGTTGATACTATTACTGTTTTCATTACTGAATTTGTAAGTAGTAGGGTGAAGTTTTATGCAGACATACTTAATCATTATGCCATACCAGTTGCAAGAGGTCCTTATTTTAAAAATTTGCATCATTTTCAACAGATGGATTTTGATAGTAAATAGATAATAAATCTGTTTCTTACCTGGGTGAATCCATTAAATGAACCACCTGAAGCCTAAATAGAAATGGAAATCAGAGTACGTTATTTTTTTCATTTATTTTTGTAGGATCAGTGAATGTCTGTTAGGCAGGTTGGAAAGTAAAGACTACCACAAATTTTAAAATAATACAAAAGGGTGTAGTGCACGGCAGTGCTTAGGAAATGCAAAAGGCTATACTGTATTATTTTAAATAGGCTGACAAAAAAAAAAAAAAGAAAGATTACTTTTACAATCACTGCTGGTGTGTGGCTCAGCGCTAACCAAAATCCACTTTTTCAATAATGAGGAGATAATTCTGTAGAAATGCCATGAGGGGTTAAATAGAATCTAGAAGAAGCATTTCCAGTATTTCTCTAACACATCATTTTATTAGTTTTTTTGACGAACACCTATTATGAGATTCTACAATTTCAGTAGGTTCAGGTAGAAGCATTTAATGTGTTTTTATTGGGGTAATCACTCAGGAACAGTAAATTAGTCTGTTCTACATATTTTTGGTACTTGAACAGTAAAAATGAAAGTATAAAAAATAAACACAGTAAATGGGTGATTAAATAAACTCTTATTAGTTCCAACATAATCATCCTTCTTTACGTGTTTTTGCTTTTTTGTGGAGTTTTTTGTTTTTTGTCAACTTATTTCTGTTTGGTTTGAACAGATTTCAAGAGATAAGAGGTATATGAATGACAATCTGTCAAGGAGATGAGGCAGGCCTCAGAGAAGATAGTGATGAAAAATGAAGTGGGCGGGAAATATCAGGAAAAACAGAACCTACAGAAGTCTTTGGCTAGTCTATACTACACACTAGGATAAGTACCTCTTCTTTATCAGCCTCTATTTCTTGGTACAACATTCCATATCTCTGGTTAGCAATTTCATCTTCAGATAAATCTGAGTTGTTGATGCCATTGTCTTGGGGACTAGCAGAACTTTCGGTGTTAGCATCCTGGGAGGTTCCCAAAACCAGTGGTCTAACTGTTTCTTGGCTTTGTTCCCAACAACAGCTATCAATGGCTTGTTCCTCCCATATATCTGCCAATAAATCCACCTCCAGCCTTTTTTTGCTCTCAACTATATCTAAATGTTCCTAGCAATTGTCTATGGCTCCCATATTTCTGATAGGCCAGTGGTTAATAGAATCAAGCCAATTGGCAAATCTACTTCCTTAGCCATCTGGTATACCAGAGAATTCCAATTTATCCATATTATTCATTGCTAAATCAAAGCTTGGCTGCAATATTTGACCTGGATCTGTTCCCCAAGAGTCTGTTTTTGCAATTCCTGGCAAGGTAATGGTATGACTACAGTTCCCACTCACCATACTTTCAGACCCCTCTATTAATGAATCTTCTGCCTTACATAAACACCAATTGCTTCTGTTTGCATTAGTTTCCAGAGAATAATTGAGATCTGTCCTAGACTGAGCTGCTACTTCATGTTTTACTAATAAAACAACAGCCTGATTTTCATCCTTGTCACCTCCAGGAGCATGTAACACAGCCTCACACTTAATCTTATCATCTGCACTGCCCTGTGCTGTATGATATATTATATCACAGTTAAGAGGGTCTATTAAAAATTTTTTCGTGTCTTTTCTATCCCATCCCTCAGGGCTGGCATCTTCAATATTAGATACAGAGTCAGTCTGGAGAGGCAGTTTCAAAATATCTGTGTAATTTTCAGGTTTAGCTCTAAAGCTTTCTATAATTTCACAATCATTTATTACTATGTAAATCCTCTCATCTAGTCATTTGTCTCTGTCACTAAATTCATCCACCGTATCTATCCTTTCCATGTCTTTTTCTAATATGTCAATTTTCTCGAAATACTTTTCATTGGTCTTTATACTCTCCTTACATCTAACTCTTAGATCTTTCCTAGTTTCCTCTTTATTGCTTTTTAAGGTCTCCTGGTCCTGCTTTCCTACTGTCTTAAGTTCTTCTACCCTGTGTCCTGTACTTTCACACACTTTCTCTTCTAATTCCTCTGTACCTTCTAGGATCTTGATATTAATAGCTCCAATGTCTACCTTTTCACATGTCTCCACACCTTCCCACAAAGAATCTTCTATCTTCTGTTTCTCTTCCTCTTCTTCTGACTTTTTAACAACTTCTTCACTTTCTTCAACTAGGCCACCAGTTTCCATGGCTGGCTTCTCAGAGTCAGGTAAGTCATAAGGCTGCTCCATTTCCATACAAGCCGCAATGGCAAATTCAACCGCAAGCACAAGCTTTGGAGACAGTTGTTCATTTCCACACAGAGGGGCAGGCCCCAGGACACACTTCCCCTGTTCGGCTACAGTGTGCCAGTCAGCAGAAGGAAGCATCCCAGTGGATAATCTCATTTCTTGCTCTGCTTCAGAGAGACATGCAGAGTCTTCCTGAGACCCATCGCGGGTAATTTCCTGGCTGACACTGTCTGTACTAGCATCTGGGCCCCAAATAAATGCACCTAGATCAATTTGACATCTTTGAATTTCTTCAGCCAACCCACTGTCTGGAGTTTCCTCCATGATCAGGTTACAAAGGGAAAGACTTTTTGAAGAGTCAGTCTTTAGAGTGTGCATAACAGCAAAGGAAAAAACAAACAAAAAAACATAAGATGAAATAGATTATGGTAAGAGTTGATGAGAAACACAAAGCTCTTGAGTCAGGTAGCAACAATTTACAAAACTAGAGAGTATTTAAATTAAATGGCTTAAGGTTAAATCTGTGACAAGCAATGCTGTGACAGAAAAGAAGCTCATTTTAGATAATATACTGTGTATATAATGCATATTAAATACAAAAAATATCCAGAATTTTCCGGATATTTACCTACCGGCTGTACCAAATCAGTGCTTGTCTGTATGAGTAAAAAAGAAATAACAGAATCATAAGGCAAGAAAAGAAAATTCACTAGCACTGTAAAATCCTATGCTGTCTGGAGTCGACATTCTGCTGAATATTGTGGCTTTCACTGGTTTGAGATTAAATTTTACAACTTCTTTGTGATAGGAATGAGTTTTGTTCTAACACTATTTAAGACTACACAATTGAAACTTGAAGAAAGCATTTGTCATTTTCTAGTGTCCGTAAGAATGTTTTATGGCTATTATCTGACTTCTGTTTTAGCAGATTCTGAAATGCAAAGTTTCAAATAAATAAGCAAGCCTGCTAACCCGAGAATAACATTAAGCCCTAGCAGTCACAAAATTACACAGTATCATCTGCTCCAGCTGAATACCAGAGTAAAATCTTCCCCAAACTCATCCTGCATTTGTTTCTGCCTTTGAGGTGGTTTTCAGATGGAGGATGATCTGATACCAGCCACTCTGACTGCCTGAAGGATTCTCCTCAGCTTCTCCTTGCAGTCTAGAAACTTTGTCTGGACAAAAGGAAACAATACTGGCTAGCTGAGAGGATCAAGAAATGCAAGTACATATGTTCAGGAAGCTGTTTTATGTTTTGTTTTGTTTTGTTTTGTTTTGTAATCCTGTCACTGTTACCATTCCTAGCAGGTTTGTCCTCTAAATTATTCAATGTTCCTTATAGGTAGCACCTTCATTGTTACCATCTCCTTCCCCAAAGCCAGGGAAGGAAAGATGTGGTATAGCTGCAACTAAAGATATGAAATATTGAAATAACAAAAAATTAGCATTGTCCTCTTAATCTCCAAGAAAATTAAAACAAAGTCGAGGCTAGAATTCAAATGTCCTGGATGTCAATCCTTTTTGTGATTATACAAAGTCAAACCAGCTCACTATACAGGATGTTTTCAAACAACATTTTTTAGCTTTTCTCTTGAGAGCTTTCCATGGAGCTTTAAGAGTCCTAAGCAGTACAGTATAAATCTGCTGCTGTGGTAGGGAAGGAGGCAGTGATCTTGTTTTAAGGGAAAAAAGTAGCAATGCCAGTTCAGACCACAGGCTCATAAATAGCTAGATCTACCAAACTTTCCTGCTGCTGTCTCACTAAAAAAGAAGAAAACATGAAACTCAAGTTGACTTCTTAAGACCATGTAACCAAGGCTGTTCTAAGACAGTACACAAAGGCTCTACCTAAAGGGAGGTAAAGCTCTGAGTGGATGCAGCCAGTCTCCTAATTTTACAGCACAGATGCTATCAACACAAAGTGCTGTTTGTGTCTTTTTCCCAACTCAAAATTCTGAAAGTACTCATCCTTGCACATCATATTAGCTGAATAAATATCATTAGTAGTAATACCTACCTTTTATTGATACATACCAGGCATTGGGCTAAATACTCTACAACTATTATCTCACTTAATCCTCAAAAAATCCTCTGCAATAGGTGTCATTACCCTTATTTCACAGATGAGAAAAACTGAGGCTTAAAGAGTTTTAGGAATCATTCAAAATTGTATTGTTATAAGAAGTAGAGTATGGACTCAAATCCAGGGCTGTCTGGCTTTAAAGCTCAAATTCTTATTAAGCATCATTAAAAATAAAAATGAAAAAAAGAAGATTCCCTGTACAGAGTAGCTCATGCCTTACATTCTCTCACCCATACTTTTCTTATATTCTATTGAAAAACAATAACAAATGTGCATGTCCTTCACTACAACATTTCCTCTAGCTGCCAACAGTCACAGGAAGAAGCATAAAGGGGCACAACACCAAATTCTTGCTCATCCAGGAGTATGGACCACTGACACTCTCTTCTTCACCATTGCTTCCAGGTGCTGGTAATACTCAGAACCATCAGGGAGATGGAGATTATTCTAGGGGACTACATTATTATTAAAAATGTTTGGGTCTCCTTTCTATTACAGATGAAATCAAATATAACAAGGTTTCCAAATTTCTAGAGATCCAGATGCATCAAAATACAGAGTTCTTAGTACTCTTACCGTCCATAGGTCCCAGGGCAAGGTCTGAAAGCAAACAAACAAAAATATGTTAGTATACAAATCCCAAGACTGTAAAATATAGTGAGATGATAAAAGTTCTTAAAATAAAATCATAAACATTTTGAGATATTTAGTACAACACTGTTCAGTAGAACTTCCTTTGGTGATAAAAATGTTCCATATCTGTGTTGTTCAATATGGTAGCCACAAGTCACATGTGGCTATTGAGAAATGGAAATGTGCTAGTGTAACAGAATCAAATTTTTCATTTTACATAATTTCATTTAATTTAAATAGCTAAATGTTGTTAGTGGCTACCATATTGGATAGCACAGATCTAATCAATGTGTCTTTTGCTATAAAAGTGGAAAATTATATCTGAAACATGATGAATGAGTTTACTTTAATACATATACATACACACACACACACAAAGTAAACAAGGTGTCCAGACATTAGTGTTTATCAGTCTTTGAGGAAATGTGGATCCTAATCATTGCTAATACTATTTTCTCTCCTCCCACACCAAATTGAAGAGGCTGCATTATGACCAGTTTGATGGTAAGTGAACACCAGAAAAGTAGTTCTTCAATAAGGTGAATTAAGTAATACACAGCTCAATTATTTGGTAATCTTCTAAATTAGTAGGGTTCCCTCTAAGACATATAAATGATTTATAATTATTACTGACATTTTAATTATAAAGCTTATTGATCTGCGGAATGAATCCACATGGTTCAAAAATGACTTCCTCTGTCTGTGAGGAAAGTGGGGGAGACCTCTCTTATTTCCTCTGTGATTGAGAATAAATGCTAAGCCACATCCTTTTCTGCTCATGTCTTTGTGACTAGAACTGATCCATGTTTATGCACTTGTTTTGAATCACTAAATGTGAACAGAAAATTAGAGAGCCTGACACTCTCATCTTAAGAATATGACAGTTTCTAGATAGGACTACAAATATCCCGTTTGAATTCTGTACTTCTAAGTCCTGTGGCTCTGACTAAACCCACCTGCTTGTTCTGGGCCTGTTCCAACTGTACTATCCCACCCACTCTGCATTGCTGTGTGCCTGGTTGGTCTCTGTGTTAGCATTTAGTTGTAGAATGACTAAGAAAGAAGAGTAGAACAGCTCCACTGAAAACCACAGTTATTTGTACCTGGACACCTTTGCATCTATTATGCATTTTCTGGTTATCCAGATAGTTTATATTTTCTTGCTTCACTGCCCCTTAAGAATCACAGCTCCAAAAAGCTACCACACATCCCTGCATAATGCAGTCCCCAGTGGTATTTTCTACAAAGGAAGGCAGTGATGTGAAATGCCGTGTTTATCAATCCTCAGGATTGTGAAAGGATGTGTTAGCTCATGTGCACACTGCAGAGATCACAAGGTGAGGTGTTCTGCTGGCAGCAAGAACAGCGGTTTAAAACATGGCATCAGGTGATGGGTACGGTAGGTCACTGAGTGAAGGGGAAAGGCCAGCAGAATCTAATGGCTCTATTCTTTTTGTTATCTCAGACTAAGAATTTTTCTTAGCAAAAGAAGAGAGATGTGATTCGAGATGTGATTAGACCTGGATGACAGGACAACTCTGCAGTGAGGTGACTCAATTATGGCCACTGGGAAGCCAGAGCAGCTTATTATCTGCCAGGGAAGAACAAACACAGGGGCACACACAGCTTTTCCTAACTGCAGTAATGCTTTTCTTCAGAACTAAACTTTTGAAGATTTAACCAAAATCATTTTTTTAAAAAAAAATTCTGAGAGAGTCTCAGTCCTAAATCCACACAAAGTTCCATGATTTATGGATTAATTTAATAATGAATTGATATAAAAGAGGTTTCTCTCTTGATTCAAATTTGCAGACAGAAATGCTGTGGAATCTTACGCACTGATCATCACAGCATCCATTACAGAATTTTCCTTCTGCCACTAAAGTAATGAATGTTGGTAAGTAAGGCAGAGGAAGTCCTATGACATCTGCTGGCTGTCTACACGACAGTCCTGAGAAGGAAATATTCTGAATGACATATACATTCACTTTCTACTTTTATTGGCAAGCAAGGCAGAACCTACAAACTTGCTGACCATTACATTAGCACTTCCCAAAGTATGTTTTAGAGCATATTCCAATGAATGTTAAGAAAGTTTCATTAAAACTGATTTCTATGGTCAAATAAATGAGAAATTCTTAAGTTAAACAAATCTAAACAGGCTATTCTTTTAATTGCAGGACTTCTTGGAGGCTTTAACATTCTAATGCACATCACAAATCCTCTAAAAGGAAATTAATATAAATTTCTGAAATATTCATCTAAGAGCTCCATTTTTGCAAAATATATCTAAGGCTAGTGTCTGATCTACTTGATTTCCTGCTGTATTGACTTTTCAGATTTCTATTGTTCTTATATTACAGCAGGGAGGCCTATAGAAAACCAATCATCTAGAACAAAGGATGGATTAAAGAAAAGCTTTATTTATTGAGGTTTATATTGAGCTGTCTGTTCCCCAGTGGTTTACTGTAAGGTGTCAAGAAGGCTTAAAGACCAGAAAATTGAGCTGGGTCTCAATTCTTATCTTGCATTTCACAATAAACCTTCATTAATTAATTTGAAGTATATTCTAGCATCTTTGGATTTTCCTAAATTCAAATGCGAGGCCTCGACTACAACAAAAATACTTATATAAATAACTTCTGTTTACCTAAATTTTGAGTTAACTTCTTTCTATGAACATAGACAACTCTGAAGTAACTATATTCCAGAGGAATCATCCACAGGTCCTTATAGCATCCACCACCAGTATTCTTCTGACAGGGAATGCTATTGCAATAACTATTAAAATGAGAAAAATGTTGAGAGTGAAGAAGTGATGAGCAAGGATAGGTTTGGATAACTAAGCCCAATTCTGCATCAAGACATAATCAAGATCTACTAAGAAAGTTTCTGCAATGTCAGGAGAACATCATCAAGTTCAAAACTATCAAGACTGAAAAAGATTTCTCCTGGGGCATAATCTCAAAGTTATTTCAAACGTGCTTTAATTTGCAAAGTATGAGGAAGGAAAGTAGAGAAAACTGGAAGAAGATTAAACCCAAAGCCAAAAGAAAGAAATTTATTTAGAGAAGTTATAAAATGTATCATCCAAATGCAAGTACTTTTGAGTGCAAATAAAAAAGGGTGTTATTAATAATTACTCTGAGATAGATGATTCCTGGGAAATTGGAATGTATGGTTATTCCAGCCCCATGGATAGAGAACATTAATGGGGAGGTTGGCAGGGGGGCTTTAGAATAATTGATATTGATAAAGTCTCCTTTATACCCTTCTTTCCCAGTAGGAAATATTTGTCAATCAAAAAGAAGACAGTCATTTGAAAGGGAGAGGGGTAGCTGAAGTGCATCTGTTGCCTTATTGAGCTTATTAAAATTTATGATTTAGCATCGCCAAACATAAAAACCACTTGATACCTGAGACATAGGTGAGTGGGTCACTCCAGCAGAAACTGCAGAGGCTATCTCAGGCTTGAAAGGGTCAAAGTCCAGATCCAACAAAGTTTCCTCTTTCTTCACCTCAGAAACTTCATTCTGTTCAAGCAAAGCAAAACAAAACAAAACAAAACAAAACAAAGCAAAACATGTAACAGCTTGAATCTGATAAGGCTTCATGAGATAATCCATGCATAATCCTCTCATATCAATTGATATCCCTAAAACATGCTTTGATAGTTTATCATTTAGGTGGCTCATCCATGTGCTTCCAGAGTCACTAACTAAATGTAATAAGAGAGGAGATACCAATTCTTGCCAAGCATAGCCTAAGACACCCAAGAATGTGGCCCACGTTTTAGTTCCTGTCCTTTGTCCAGCTCCAAGTCCAGCCAACAATATCTGAAAGATGTATTCTAATGCCACCAAGATCTAAGAAATCTCCTTCTTTGCTAGTTCATAAATCTCATATCAAGAATTACAGATGATCAGATGGATAAAATGGCCCAAGGCTTGGACCCATTACAGTAACTCACTGCTGAGATGTGAAGCTATATTAAAATAAAGGGGTAATTGTCTACTGTGACCACATCCCACCTGCCTCATCTCCTCAGAGGCACCCTACACCTGGGTTTATTTATTATATAAGCCATTCTCCTTCCATAATATTGTTTGTCTTAACTGTGTATATGAGGAATGGAGAGTGAAAAGAAGGGAGGAAAAAATAGAGAACCATATTCCTCCAACATTCACTACAAAATGAGCTCCCATTCCAATAACGTTCTTGAAATAGAGAGAAGGTAAGTCAAATAAAACATGGAACAAAAGCGCTGCTACCATAATAGTAAAAAAATTAAAATCTAAACATTAACATTTGTTCATTTATTATGGTATTGTAATATAGGAAAAACAATACAGGCTTGAAGTTGGCCTAACCCAGGCTCAAGTCACGCAGTAAGAGGCAGAGCCAAAATAAAGTCCCCATAAACTATACTACAGTGAAGAGAGTTGGGTTTAGTTTTCACACAATTCGAGTTATATATGTTTGGTATTTGATATAAGCTTTAATTTTGACTATCTGTTGTCTAAAAAATTAAGATTACAATAATAAATAAAGTATTATATAAGAACACATGTTTAGAGAAATATTTTAAAGAACAGGAGTTATTTTAATTAAATTGGTCATAAACATAAAAAAATTGTAGAATTTTTTTTATTTTAATTACTTTCAAGTATACAGTACTTGGTTAGACATTTATATAGTTTATAAAATGATCCCCCTAATTGCTCCAAATTTTTAAACCTATAAATGTATGGACAGCTTGGGAGTGTAACAGGTACTTTTTTTTAGTATACCTGCACTGATTGTAGAAGGAAATCTGCTTATATATTATGAAATTGGTCTTGAGTTATCTATTTTACAGTATGATTACTCCTCATATATTTAAATTTAAATTTCACAAGGATAATGCTCTTCTGAGATTTCTCTTTCTTTAATCTACAATCACAAAACTGTTAACTAATTCCCTTGGCCCCTATTCAAAATCTGGATGAGTTTTGTTTTTCACTACTTTTATATTGGTACAAATAATATTTTTAATATTTCAAAAAGACATATTACAGTTAGAATGTGCTAGGCACTGTTCTAAGAACTGAATACAGATGAACATTAACTCATATTAGTGTACTCTGTTGTGGTCTGATGATGACAACACTACTACTGCCTTTAAAGAATTGCTTTACTATATTTCCCCAAATTGTATTTTATCTGCCTTATCTAATCCTTCCAAAAAATGAGGGGCAGATGGCATCATTTCCTCATTTGGGGATGAAGAAACTGGGCTAAATGAGGTTATCTACTGCCTTGGGTCCCTGAGCTGCAACGCAGCTGAGGCAGGACTGCAGTAAGATATCTCTGACACCAGCACTATTCCCGGCTACTGCTGAGACTGGGACCCACATCTCTAACAGGGACCCTGAGGATCTGAAGAGGAGTTCTCAATGTTCTGCAAATCCTTCACAAAAATTTAGGCAGCACAAATATGTCCATCATTCCCTTATAAATTTAATTAATCCCCTTAAGGAAGAACAAATGGAAACTTAAAGATCATGGATGAAAAGGAGCTATAATGGGCTTGCTGAGACTTTTATTGAGATAAATTTGGGTGTGCACACCAGTTTTGCCACTTGCTAGGTGTGTCTCTGGGCAATTAATTCATCTTCATTGAGCCTTCATTTCTTCATGCATAAAATGAGAAAAGTACCCAGTAAGATTACCATAAGTAATAAAGACAATAGATGCAGTGTACATAATATATATGAGATGTTCAAATGGAAATGGCAACTAATGGTAATTACTATTAATAATTATGTACATTTGCATAGAATTGTCATCAAGTACCTATAATACCAGTTTTGCTGCCTTCAAAATGTGTAGCTGGCTTCTTCAGGCTCAATGTCTATTTGGTTTTGTTCCCTTAACCTTGAGAGTTATCCCTTAAGGCACTCACATCAAAGAGTAATTTGATAGAGTTACACAAAAAGCAAACAGGGCTACCTGTTTATATAGTATTCTTTTATAAAAGGGCAGAGAAGCACTCATAAATCATATTGAAACACAGTGACATATAATTTCCCTTAACATTTTTTCTCATTTACAGTAAATCACCATTAGAGTAGATCTGATATGGTCTCAATATTCTTAAGCTTTTGGGGGGCTTTATCTTAAGTTACGTTTTACTATCAAAAGTCTGGAAGAGGTGACCCGAAATGTGCTCCTGAGAAAGGAGACTAGATATGGAAACCACAGTGGGAGAAAATATCCATTGGAAAAATATTACCAATTATAACAATCTTCTGTGCTCTGTTTCATGACGTGTCTTCTGCTAGGGACATCTAAGTTTACAGTCAAGGTACTGGACTTCTTCTAGTATAGGTGTGCAACTGAGCATAATCCTTACACCTTGTCATGGACTCATGATAGATGGAGTTTACTTCCTTATCCCCTCACTTGGGATTGACCATGTGTCATGCTTTGGCCAGTGGATGCTTGCGAATGTAATGCAAGCAAAGGCTTGAAATTTACTTGCACGACTGACTTGCTTTTTTGATGTTCCTGCCATTCACCCTGAAAGTACAAGCTTTGAGTAGCCACTGGATGAGGAAGGGAGGCATGTGGAGCACACCTGGACTCATCATAACTGAATTTCTCAAAACCAGTTTTAAAGAGAAATTCTTAAAAGTGGCCAGAGGAAACACAATTTATGGAAATCAAGAGGAAAATGGCAGACTAGGTAAAAGCAGGATTTACCTCCTCCCAGGTCCACATTGAAATTACAGCCAAAATATAAAATAATCAATGTGGAGAATCACCTGAAGTCTAGCTAATCACAACATGTATGTCTGATAATATGAAGAAGGAGCCACATTGAAGCAGGTAGGAGGGGCAAAGTCATGAACTGGGCTGGACCCACACAAGTGGGTGGTAGAGGAATACCAGGAGGGAGAATGAAGCTGCAGAGGCTCCCCCTGAAGGACAGAGGATTCCTAGCCTCATTCGGGGGCTTCCCAGCCCAGGTAAGAGGAGTTTCAAAATAAATTCTGACAGTGAAAACCAGAGGGGATTCTGGTCATCTGGGTGAGATGGAAAGAAACTGAAACCCTAGACACCTCTTTGAAGGGCCCACACACACAGGCTCTCTTGCCTGTGGACGCTCACCTGGAGCACTGGTGGTGGGTCAGAGGTTCCCACAAGATTCAGACAGAGAAAGACTACATTTCCTGGTGCCAGAACGAGGGCTGGATGGGCAGCCACCATTGTGCGTTATCAGGCCTCCGCAGGAGCCATCCACAGACTTCGCCAACTTGCCCATGCAGATCCCTCTCACAGGGCCAATATGGAAGCACTGGACTGAGGAGATCAGCTTACCCCACCCAACCTGTAGATTGCCCCAGGGCTTTTGTTATTGGATGGCTGCTACGCCCTGCACTGATTCAGGGCCAAACATCTGAGGCAAGTGCCAGCACTGTGTGCACTCTTTTTGGAGACAGTTTCAGGCTGACTTCAATATAAGACCCGAAACCATAAAACTTCTAGAAGAACACACAGGCAGTAATCTCTCTGATACTGCTAGTAGGTATTTATTTTTGGACATATTTCTGTGGGCAAGGGAAACAAAAGAAAAAATAAACAAATGAGATTGCATCAAACTTTTTAGATTGCATCAAACTAAAAAGTTTTTGTACAGCAAAGGAAACCATCAACAAAACAAAAAGACAACTGACTGAATGGGAGAAGATATTTGCTTATTATATATCTGATAAGGGGTTAATATCTCAAATACATAAAGAATGCATACAACTCAACAACAACAACAAAAAATCAAGCAATCCAATTAAATAATGGGCAGAAGACTTGAATAGATATTTCTCCAAAGAGGAAATACAGATGGCCAATAGACATATGAAAAGATGCTAAAGGTCACTAATCATCAGGGAAATGCAAATTAAAACCACAATGAGATATCACTTCACACATTCAGAATGACTATCATCAATAAATCAAAGTACAAGTGTTGGCGAGGATGTGGAGAAAAGGAACTCTCATACTCTGTTGGTGGGAATGCAAATTGGTACAGACACTATGGAAAACAGTCCGGAAGTTTCTCAAAAAATTAAAAATGGATATACTTTCGACCCAGCAATTGAACTTCTGGGTATTTATCCAAAGAAAACAAAAACAATAATATGTAAACATCTAGGTACCCCTATGTTCATGGCAGCACAATTTACAATAGCCAAGATGTGGAAGCAACCTAAAGGCCCATCAACAGATGATTGGATAAAGAAGTTATGGTTCATATAACCAATGGAATATTACTCAGCCATTAAAAAAAAAATGAAATCTTACCATCTGCAACAACACGAGTGGACCTAGAGGTTATTATGCTGAGTGAAATAAATCAGACAGAGAAAGATAAATACCATATGATTACACTTACATGTGGAATCTAAGGAACAAAAAGAACAAATTGTTAATGGGCAAACTAATCAAAAACAGACTCACGGATATAGAGGACAATCTGGAGATGGCCAGAGGG